AGTTCGTCAATTTGCAATAGTGTCAGCCTTCTCCTGCACAGCTGAAAAACTACAAGGGAAAACCTGCAAGGATGGCGTTACGGTAACGCCCTTAGAAAGACCAGGAATGCCACATCAACTCTCTATGTTGCACTATCACGAACGACATCACTGCAAAATCTAACACTTACCGAAGATATCACACAAGAATACATGCAGCAGTTCCAACCTCCTCGTACGTATGTAGCCGAAATGCTACGGCTCCAAGCTCTCATAGATGTGCCACCATATATTCCTTCTGAAGAGCTCTTAAAATTCAGTATCTGGCTGGAGAAAAACAACATACATACAGCAACTTGAAAAAATAGCCGAATATTAAAAATGGACCCACTCGATCCCGATCTGGAAAGCGTACCAGCGTTGAAGTCGGCGTCTTTGCTGTTGTGAGGGGCCGCTACTAATCTGCCATGGATGTCTGCCGCGCGCAGGCTCCAAGATTTGCCATAATGATCACCACCTGCCCCCAAGCTTCGGAACATACCCACCAAGCCTCCGAGTCCACTCCGACCCAAAAGACATCCAGCAGGCCTTCGGGGTCAGTCACGGGGTCATTTTATGTGACGTGGACGTCCGTCTGCCAATGAGATGGCAGAGGACTCCCACGTCAAGTGCTGCTGCACAGCACTTCAGTTTACGCTGGACAGCGTAATACGGGGATGCATGGTTTATATTCATTATATGCTATCCTATTGGCTGGTGTCAAAAGTAAACTTGATTATGAGACGCGTAAACATGGACATTCGCGCGACCTCATTGGCTGTAAATCCTCGAGATGTGCAACAATCAAGTTTTCCAGCCGGACTTTTGATTATGGGACGCAAGTCACAAATTTTGGCCAAGCTACGAATAGGATTAGTATTTTTTCATTGGTAGAAAAGGATTGATCTAGGATTTGAGATTGATAGACTTTAGGATGGGACCTGGATACTTGTTTGCGTGTCCTGGTCGCCAAGAACTACTGGTTGCGCGGCGGCGGCGCGCCGACGCTAAACTAACGGATCAATCAATCACTTTTCAACTTTCCAACTTCCTCTCAAATGTTCTTCGAGCGCTCGCCACTGCGCTCATCAAGCTTCGGGTCTTCGCATCGGCTTGTGTGACATAGTAGCACTTGTCGTGTCAAGCTTCGGTTCAAGTTCAAGACTAGGTTGCTCGTGGGGATACCTTCCGAAGCGAGTTTACCTGTGACTATTGGAGTTAGCCACATAGTGGGGACACTCTAGGTTGCGAACGTGCAGTTTTCTGTGGGAGCACACTTCGAAGAAGTGGGTACATCACGCCGTGGGCAGGTGGAAATACCACATTGGGGCTTGGCCCACGCCAAGACCGGATAGTACCTAACCTTCGGGGTTGTGTTGGACTCTTACTAGAAGTCGGTTTAGTAACAGGGCGCCTGCTTTGTGTCTGCTAACGTGGAACATTGTAGAAGTATAACGGTCCCTGGTTAGTCCCTTGCCTTTTTCGATCTTTGGAGTCGGTCCATGGCCCGGTACAAAAAGGGTCATAACCACAGCAGTAAGAGGAAGCACCAAAAAGCGCGTGACGTTAAAGTATCATCAACGTCTACGCCGGCTCCTCCTCCTGTTACGGCTATTGACACCGATCTCTTCTTCTCGCCGGTCGAGGCGGAGAAATCTGCGAAATTGCAATCGGATCTTCTCAAGCAGGTCAAAACCG